CAAACCCTGGAGTCTTTCTCTACCCTTTGCTCTCACTTGCCTCTCCATCTGATTGCTCACCACATCCTGTAGGCTCCACTTCTGAAATACAGCCAGCATCCGCCGCATCTCTCGGCTCCACTGCCTCCATCCCGGTCCATGCCACCAGCATCACTCACTTAGGGAATCTCACCCGCTGCAATCTGTTGTCCACACACAGCCGGAGGAATCCCTTTAGAACCTAAGTCAGATCCTGTTTTTCCCCTACTTAGAGCCCTCCCAGGGTTCCCGCCTCACTCAGAGTAAACACCAAAGTCCCTACGAGGCCCCATACGACCCCCTCTCCCAGCACATGCTCCACGTCTCTGATGACCTCGCATCCTCCCACTCGCCCCCTGGACTACTCCCTTCCAGCCTGACGGCGTCGTCGCTATTCTTCTAATAAGCCACGGACCTTTCTATCTCACAGCCTTTGTGCATGCTGTTCCCTCTGCCCAGGGGGAACATGCACCGTCTATTCACATGACTCTCTACCACACCCCCTTCAGGTCTCAGCTCAGATGCCACCCCTCAAAGCAGCCTCCTCCGAGACCCCCTCTATGCTTGACTTTTTCTAGGTAGAGGAGATGGCACAGAGAAAAGATACTTTCATGAAAGGGACGGCACGTGCGAAGACCTAGGAACACGAACAGTGGGAGGCGCGCGGTGGTTTGGCGAACTGGCGAAGGCAGCAAGGCAGGGCGAGAGGCCCAGGCGGCTGAGCTTCAGCATAAGGCATCGTCTGGGCACGGGGAGGAAGCGCTCTGGGCCGCGGCGAGCAGGCCGGGGCCACCTGGCTCTGTCACTCCGTGGCCGTGTGACCTCGGGAAGCTATGCCTCTCTCTGGACCCAAGAATCCTCACCTGCTGTCGGAGACCACTTTAGTGGACTCATTATTTGACAAATGGGGAAACTGAGGCTGCAGAAGGGCTGCTGTGATCTGGTTAAAGGTCAACCCAGAGATAGGGATAAGCCAGGGCCTGCTAGCGGTCACTCACACCTTGGCTTGAACAAGCTCCCTGGGTTCTTGGCTACCCAGTGAACCCCTAGATTCTGAAGGGCCTGGGGGGTGGGGTGAGGGTGGAGTTGAGGCTCCCTGCAGGGCTCTCTACACAGTCACAACATCCGTGGCTGTGACCAAGGCAGGTGACACGTGCTCTCTGGGAGTCACCGCTGGGCCGTGCAGCCTTACTGCACACGCTCCCCCTTTCCCACACAGCCTGACTCTGCTCTGCTCCCTGTGCTGCCATTTCCTGGCTGTGTGACTCTGGGCAAGTCACTTCCCCTCCCTGAGCCTCAATTTCCTCTTCCGTAAGGGGAGATAATAGTACCCGCACCGTTGGCTGTTGGGAGGATTTACGCTGACCCTGCCACCCTCGCCCTCTTGCTGCTCCTCACACATGCCGGGCAGGCTCCTCCTTCAGGGCCTTTGCACTCTCTGTTCCCTCTGCTTGGAACGTCTTTCCCAAAGATGGCTCGCTCTCGCTCCGCTCCGATGTCACCGCTCAGCGAGGCCTTCGCTGACTGACCCCGACACACCCTTCCTCACTTAGTTTGTCTCCGTAGCTCCTGCCACTTCCTGACGCATCTCGGTGTTTGCTCATTTGTCTGTCTTCTTGCTCCGGGACGGCAGCTCCAGTTTTGTCTTTTTCGGTCATCGTTGTATTCCCAGCCCCCGGCATGGCACAGCACGAGAAGGCAGAAGGTGCTCAGTCAAGACTGGTAGAATGGATGAGTGAATGAACGACTGAATGTACAGTGCTTAGCACCGTGTCCTGCCCCACAGTAAGGGCTCAACAGCCAATGCCGTGAATGGCGTTGCTTTGGCAGCTGCTTTCCAATGTCCCTTCACTCCTGGCCACTTCCAATCCGTCCCTCACCAGCCCGGCCTCCTACTTTCTCTGCCCAGCCCAGATCCCAGGCCCAGCTCCCTGCTGCCCATGCAGTGTTATCCCTGGGTCCTGGGTCCTGGGTCCTGGGTCAGGGTGACCTCTGGGGAATCGCAGGCCTTTGGTGTGGGCGCCCTCAGGCTCTGCCTCTGGCTCCTCTTACACCCTGGGGCAGAGGCTTCCGGGAAGCTGGCGGACCATGCTTTGAAGCTCCCTGGGTCAGACCCATGGAGCTCCAGGGCCTTCCTTTGGCACTGCCTGATGTGACCCAATTATTGCACAAACGGGGACAGTGAGACTGGAGAGGGGCGGCCGTGTCGTGTGTCTGGTCTTTGGGGCTCCTGAAACATCCAGGGCAGCTTCCAGGATGCTGGCTCCTCTGTCCCAGAATAGGACTGGAGCTCAGGCGCCTGTTTTCCAGATGGCGAGACTGAACCTCCTACAGCTTAGGGACCAGATTTGAATCTCATCCTTCCACTTCCTGACTGTGTGACCTGAGGCTTATCACTTGGTCCTGCCGAACCTCGGTTTTCTTGGCTGTAGAATGGCACACCAACAGTAGTCAGCTCACCGAGGCGTTTGGGAGGATAAGACCAGCCATCCCACCAGCATCTAGGGTCTCTGGCCTCAGCAGCCGCCCAGCCCCCTCCCCCAGTCCCCCGGGCCCTGGCAGCACTGGGCCTGGCGCTGCTCCCTCATCGTCGGGTGACTGACAGTTCCAGGAGTTTGTCGCTGCTGCTTTATTTTTTCCTTCCCTGACTTCTCCCCTACTCATTCTGTCCTGCCTTCTCCAGAACCAGCTTGTTTTTGTTTTCTGTTTTTACGGCTCCATAAATGAGTCACGGGCCTGATTTGATTTAATTTTGTTGTAATTGTTATCTTTTCAAGCTTGTTTTTTTCCACTCGGTTACTCACGAGACCGCAAAGCCTAAACAGGACGGGGCCTTCCCCGGCCCGCTGCCCGGCACTCATGGCCGGCCTCCCGCTCCTCTGGGGCTAGCGTCAGCAGCTCCTGGAGGACCAAGGTGGGGTTCGTGGGGCTTCTGGGAGGAGGTGCTTAGCGTCCCAAGCAGGACCGGGTGTCCTGAGGCCCAGGCTGTAGCCCCGTGCTGCGTGCTGTGCCACCCTGGGAATGTCATTTAAGTTCTCTGGGCCCGATTCCCCAGCGCCCTCCTTGGCAAGCTTCAGAACAGGGAGTCAAAGGCTCAGACATCTTGGGGCCGGGAGGCGACATGATGAGTGAGGTGGGCTGGGTGGTGACTGTGGTGAGCTGGGGGGAACAGGCCCTACTCGGGGGACCGCCGCCTCTTAGTCGGCACGCGGCCCAGATCTTTCAATTTACCAAGACGAGCCAGAAATCTGAGGTTGTATGTGGAAAGTCCTAATTTTTTTTTTAAGTCCTAATTTTTAACTGTTGTCCGATGCGTCAAAAACAACAAACTCTGTGACCACCTCTGGTTTAGAAGGTTCTAGAAGAGCCGGCCCTGCCCGTGTTCCAGCTGGGTCTGGCGTTCTCCTGCCCTCCATACCTTTGCCTGAGCAGTTTCCTCTGCCTGGGACACCTCCCCTCTTCCTCACCTCATTGTTCTCATCCTTCCGTGAAAGTGAGAGTGTCCCTGGCTCGGGGTCACCCTTTCAGTCATTTCTCCCATCGACAGTGAGCTCGGGACGACAATGGCCTTGTCCACTTAATTGTTAAAAATAAGAAAAATATGTTTCCTGGTTTGTTATTTGTTTCTAAAATGGGGCACAGTAATTCTTCAGTCATTCAAAAACTGGGGGTGTTGGGCTGGCCCCTCGTGGGGTCAGGAAAGGGGCTGTAGAAGCCAGTGAGGAGCTGGGGAGTGGAGGCTGGGGGAGAAGATAGGGCTCCAGCCAGGGGAAGGAGGACCGATGGCTGCTCCTCGAAAGCTTGGGTGTGGCCACGTGACCAGCGTACCCCATCGGTGCCAGTTTTATGAATCAGAAGTTGGAAATGATGGGGAGTAGGGTGCTGAGGAGTCCATTCTGGGGTGGGCAGGACCACAGTTTTGTCTACTTTTTTAGAGGCTGTGGGGGCAGGCCAGTTCTGGGGACAGTGACGAGGGCCCAGTGGTGGCCTCGGTGCAGACTGAATAATTTTGCAGAAATGACTCTGTTCATGATTACGTTAGGTTGGTCAAAAGCCGTGAAAAGGACATTGCACTGTGCTCTCATGCAATTTCGTTTTAATATATTTAAATATATCAATACTCGCTTCATTTCGTTCATTCTAAGAATTTGTGTAATTATATGATAAATGTGTTAGGTCAAAGAGAAAATCAGTTTATTTTCACTTTGCCAGATAGAGTCCTAGTTAAGTTTCTCAAAGATCAATCTTTATTTTGAAGTTTTGCCCTGGTTCCTGGTGAATTCACTTTGTATGGCTTTTTCCTAGACCAAATTGTCTACCTTAATCTTCCAATCTTCCACCTGAGGTCTCCAGAAGTCCCCTCCCTCCCACCCCAGGCACAGCTCTTGTTCTGTGAGGGGTACCAGAGCCTCCAAAGCTAGGGCTGATCACCTACCACCACGACTTGAGGCCTCCCAAGCTCCTGGTCCAGCCCCTGCCTCCCCCTCTCTCTAGCCCTTTGGTCTTTCTCCAAGCCAGGACCAGGGTGACCCTTCAGTAGCGTTCCAGCCTGAAATGGAAGCTCACTGGATGCTTAAGACCATGGAGTCCTAGAACTGTACGATTATTCCCTCCAGGTCAAAGAATCACTGGTTCTCGATCAACCAGGCCCTTGCAATTCTAAAATTTTAACGCAGGAGGCCTGCTGGACCAAGCCACACACTCACTCAGTAAATATTTATTGAGCATCTATTATGTCCCAAGCACTGAGGAGACAGCGGTGAACAACTTGGATGAACTCCCTGCCTTCATGGCACTTTTGTTTCAGCAGGGAAGACAGTCAAAGAACAAATGAGTCAAAGAAGGAGTATGTCTGATAGTGAAACCAGTGGTAAAGGAGGGTGAGGACTGTGGGGGTTGAAATGTGATATGGGCTGTCACAGAAGGTACAGAAGGCCAGAGAAAAGTGAGGGGGCCTCCGATGTCTGGAGCAGGAAGTTCCAGATGGTGGGACTAGCAGATGCAAATACCCTGAGGTGGGAAAAATTTTTGCATTGTTGGGGAAAGATAAGGAGAGCAATCTGGCTGAGTAAGCAGGGAGAATGTGTGGGAAGACGAGGTCAGAGAGGCCAGCAGGGCCTGTGGACCATGGGAAGAGGAGTTCAGATTTTATTGCAAGGAAGGTAAGAACCCCTGAATTCTGAGCACAGGAGGGACAGGGTCTGACTTTGGTTTGAGCATTAGGTTTCTCAACCTCAGCACTATCCACATTTGGGCCAGATGACTCTCTGTTGTCGGTGGTGACCAGGCAGTGTGCCTTCTTGTGCATTGGAGAGGATTGAGCAGCATCTCTGGCCTCTTCCCCACTGGAAGTCAGTGGCACCCATCCCCTTACCCAATGTGACAATTAAAAATGTCTTCAGACATTGCTAACTGTGCCCTGGGGTACGAAACCCCCAGTTGGGAGCTACTGATCTAAAAGGATCCCTCTCACTGAGTATGAGAGGGAGTGGGGATCGGAGAAGTGGTTGGGTTCTGGATCTCTTTTGAAGGTGAACTCAGCAGGATTGTCTGGATTGCACCCGGAAAGAGAAAGAGAAAAAGAGAATGATGAGTTGAAAATGACTCCAGGGCTTTGGCCTGAGTCGGGGGTGGAGGGGGGTGGGGGGGAAAGTGCTCTCTTTTACTGAGAGTGGGAGCTGGTTGGGGGGCCATTCAGGAGGCATCTCCTTCCCGATGCCAACTGGGTAGATCTGGGGCAGGGCCCAGAACCTGGTATTGTCACAGCCTAGCTCTAGGTGATGCTGAGTTTTTCAAACTGTGCTTCAAAGAATGTAAACAACCAGAGGATTGACCTTAACTACAAGGGTATCTCTTCTAGGGGTGAGGACAGGAACAAGTGGACAGGGGTTCCTCACTTCACCCAGCTCAGGAGATTCTGCCTAAGATGTTTCTAGAAGGGGTTCTGAGACGGAAGGAAGCCTCAGGACCTCAGCTCCAGTGTAAGGATTGCAAACTCAGGTGCTTCCGGGGCCAGGTGAGCAGCATGCATGGTGACGTGGCTGTTGAGAGGGGCAGGCCCATCTGAAGGGTGGACACTACTCAGTTTCAGCCCAATGTCACTATGCAGGATGGCCAGGACTTCCATTTTTTAAAAAAATTTTTATGAGAAGCTGTAAATCTGGATTGATTTTTAAATGTGGGGGCAAATCTATAAATATTCAGGCCAGATTCAGCGCGAGGGCCCTGAGTTTGACACCCGTTCCACTGCATCTTTCTCATTCTGCAGGTGGGAAGGGTCCCCAAGAGTCAGAAGTATAGCTGCCCCAGAGAGGGGCACATTCTCCTGGGTCTGAGTGGGGCATGGCGCTGCAAGGGAGGTCGAGCTTGGACTCGGCTCTGAAGAAGGCTCAGATTCTGTCAGAAAAGAGGAGAGGGCATTTCTGGAGGTGCGGGAGTGTGGGCAGGGGTGCGGAGGTGGGAGTATGGAAGGCTGTTTTCGAGGCGGACGGAGATAGGAAGAGATGGAGCCAGGAGAGAGGAGACAGAGACATGATAATGGGGGCAGGGGAGGGAGGTGCTGGGAAATCAGCGAAGAGGCTGGACCCAAAGCAGGGCCGGAAAAATCACAAAAGAACTTTAATGATATTAATACTTTCACTTCCGAAATTGTTTGACAACAAGCGGCTCATTTATTTTACCACTGACTTTGGGTTCTTGGCAATCCCCGTATACACCAGGGAGTATTTGCCCAATGAGGAACGTTCTCGTTTGCAGATTGTTTTCAAATGAGAGTTTGAAAAATTTTGAAAATTTTCATAAACACTACATTAGAAATTTAATACTGAATCGTATTAATGGATTAACGAAAGATTTATTAGTTTCAATTTAGCAGGTTTCTTTAAGTACTTTAGAGGCAATACAATTTTTTTTTTTTTTTCAAATCTCCCTTGCAAATTTTCCACCTCACAGCAGCCAAAATTTGAGGTGACATGTGCAAAAATAGCTGATGTGTAATGATAGCAAGGGGTAAGTGAGGTTTAAAGAGTCTGGGAGAGTTCGCTTTCGGGGGGAGGGGTCAGGGCAGGCACCCTGGAGGAGGTGGATTTGACTCTGAGTGGCCCAGGATGGGTGAAATATAGACCAGGCAGATGGGTTAGGGTGAATGAATGCCTGCCAGGCGGAGGACCCCGTGTATTTGAAAGTGTGAAGCTGGGAATAATGAGATGAGAGTTTGGGGCTGGGGCCAATAATGGTGGTGGGCACTGCAAGAACCAAAGAGAAAAGATGAGGCCCGTCAGGCTCTCGGCCCGGCCCGAGAGCACGGAGTGGGAAGAATGGAGAGCTGACCTCCTCCGTTCAGGTTGCTTGTGGGTGCAGGAGGGCAGCAAAGAATGTGGATGTCTCGTCCTTCTGTCCATGGCCTAGAGCCCTTCCCCTCATCCCAGCGGAGTCATTTTAGGTGACATCTAAGATCAGGTCACCTGTGCTGAGTGCCTACACAGTGCCCAGCCCTGCGTGGAGGGCTTCTGAGTGTCCGCTCACGTGCATGAGGGAGGTGTTATTAAGACACCTATTTCACAGAGGATGCGGAGGCCCAGAGAGGTGAAGCGACATGCCTGAGGTCATGGCCAGGAAGCGGCAGAGCGGGATCAGAAGGCAGACCTGCCCGAGCCCAAAGTCCATGCTCCAGCCACTGCTCTGTACTGACCGACGCTCATGTGCTCCCACCAGGTCTGGCTTCCTGGGACCCAAGTACCACAATCCTCCCCATTCGTCAGAGGGGTAAACTGAGCCTCTGAGAGGTTGAGTGGGAAGGGGCAAAGCCAAGGTTTGAATTTCCAGGTCCACTGGACTCGAGCCCACTCTCCTTCCAACAAATGACACAGGTGCTTGCCTTCCCAGGCCGCTGTCTCCTCATCTGATAAATGGGGGCGAGGACACAGCCCACCTGATAGGGTCCATGTGAGGATCAGAGGTGGTGCATATCAATCGCCCCGTTCAGTGCCTCGCATTTAGTAGGTGTTTTAAAAATTGCGGCTGTGATTATTTGTGTCGTGGTGGCTGCATATGAAATGAGTCAATTAATGTAAGGCACTTAGAACAGTGCCTAAGTAGCACTGATTTTGCCTAAGGGCATATAGTAGATGCTCAAGAAATGCTAGAAGGTGTTATTATTATTATAGGATCTCCCACAGGAAGGCCCACTGTATCCTTCCCAAATTGCCTTCCACTTGTTTCTTCCTTCATCCGACAAACTGACCTCAGAGCCTAGGTTAGGATTTGGAGGTGAGGAGGATGCAGCCTCCTGCCCATCGGTCAGAGATGCTGAGAGCACTGGATGGTGAGTCCAGAATTCTGGGTTTGAACTCTGGACCTGTCGTGTGACCTCTTGAAAGTGCCTTGCCTGCTCTGTGCCTCAGTTTCCTCTTTCATCTGCAGAGCCTGGGTCAGGCTGCCCTAGGAGATGCCAGTCCCACACAGGGATGGGGGCGGTTCCTGTGTCTCCGTTGGCCACCAGTCCCCAGCTTCTGCCTCTCGAGCTGCAGGCCCGCCCGGCTCAGCTGTGACGACCAACCAGCCAATCTGTTTACTGAACTGGCTGACCCCTTCCGGGAACTCGGCCCAAGCTTCCCAGAACTCGGGTATTAATGACCCGGAGCCACATGACAGAGCATGACACAGCACTTCTGGGCACAAGGCAGGGCCCAGAGGGGCGCGTGGGGGGCCTTGGCCCAGCACCCCCAGCCTGACTGGCCAGTGAGTCACCCCAGCCTCCTGACGCTTCCTGATCCCGGCCGCTCTGCTACCCTCCACTACCCCCAGGACTTTCTCATTCTGCCAGGGCCACCCTGGGACCCCTGGACCTTTGCTCCAGTGACCTAGAAGAGGTCTTGGTGATTGAGGCTGCTCTCTGGGGTTACAGATGGGGAACGTGAGGCCCAGAGGACTCGGGTAAATAACAGTGAGTGTTTATTAGGCACTTACTGTATGTGAGGCCCTGGGCAAACATCCTAGTTTTGCAACAACCCTAGAACTAGTGTATGCCAGATGGGGAAACTGAGGCCCAGAGACGGGGAACAAGGGCACGCAGCAGTGCGGGGAAGCGCTAAATCCACGCAGCTCTATTCAGCCTCAGAAGGTCCCCTTTCATTCCCTCGACAGCTGGATGAGGGAGGGGCCATGTAGTCTTTCTCACAGCCGGGGAAACCGAGGCATAGAGAGACTGAGTACCCCGCTTCAGGTCTTAGTACGCGTCTGCCTCTGGGACCTGTGCTCTGAAGCAGTGCCTGGCACATAGCTATAGCACTCACGTGGTATCTGCGGGCTGACGAGCTCACATAGGCTTTGGAGTCAAGCAGAGCTGGGTTCAAATCCTGACTGTGACTTTCTCTGGCTGCTTGGCCTGGGGCACATGGCTGCACCCCACTGTGCCTCAGTTTCTTCACTGATAAAGGGTGACTGTGGTGATCCTGACCTTGCAGAGTGGTGTTTAAACAGACAGGGAACCGTGAGCACTGACATTCATAGTTTGCATCTTCTCCTAGCCCAGTTCTCTGAAGCCGGGTTGGGGTCAGCCTCTGGGCCCCACACCTGCCTCCTTCGCCCTTTGCTGCCCAAGGGCAAAGTGAGGGCGGTGTCTTTTATGGGGCTGGGAACCAGACAGGCTCTGGGGCTCAGAGGGGGGCCCCCGCTGGCAGCAGGAGTGGGGCCTCCTAGTTCCCAGCCCCTGAACTTTGGGTTGGGGGCTGGGCGTGGGCAGGGGCAGGGCAGGACTTTGATGATCTTCCCTTTATTCTGCAACCTGCTGGAGTATTCCATACGCCAGGGGAGACAGCACCGACAAGGTTTCTGCCTGCTTTCTTATGGAGGAGACAGAAGACCAGTGAGCAAACACATGAATAGATAATTTCAGCCAGGGAGAAGCATCATGACAGAAATACACAGGGGTGTCGTGGAGCTGTATAGGTCAGAGAGGGCTTCTTGGAGGAGGTGACCTGGAGAGACATCTGAAGGAGGAGAAGGAACGGACCCTGGAGGAAGGGATTTCCAGCACTGGGGGAACAGCAAGGGCCAAGACCCTGGTGTGGGTTTGCACTTGGAGTGTTCCAGGAAATGCAAGGAGGCTAGGTGCCTGGAGGTGGGTAAGGGAGGGGAAAGTGACAGGAGATGATGCTGGAGA